GCTTTCAGAAAAAGGCTTACCAAAACAAAGTTACTGGGTTAATCTTTTTCACGTTTCCTTGGTTGGTAGATGCTTCGGTGGACCTGATTATAGCACTTAAAAATTTTTATTTTTACATTGTCAATTGTTCAAATACAAATAGAACACGTCACAATGGTCGCACAATATAAGCAGACACTTATATACCTCCCTCAGGCCAGTGAACTAAATGCCACAGATTAAATGATTTATTTTGCTGCATATTTTCTCCGATAAAAAAAAGAAACAGCATCATATATTTGTTGAGATGTGCATTACTCTGTTTGTATGAGACTGTACCGTTGTCTTTGCCCTTGACAAAGTTCTCCCATTCTCTAAACCACTGCATGCTGATACACAGGATGACTGTAGGCGCTTCTTCAGCTTGAAACTCCTTGTTTAACTGTAGACGGAGAGAGAAAGAGAAACAGAGAGCGAGATATGAGGATTATCAAACTCTCTCTAACCAATCTGAGCATTTCAGCATTTGACCATATTGTATTATACAGCAATTATGTTTTATTTCATTCTGAGGTGCCCCTTGCAAACCTGCTGAGTTTCAAACATGACCTTCAGATTTTTCCAAAGCTTTAAAACATGTCTGATTCAAAGCTAGTGATGCATCTCACAGATGCTGCACTTCTGGTAAGATTGCAGTGCAGATCGCACCCTTGATCTGTCCAGCATGCAGTCTGTGTTTCATCAGTTCTCTGGCTTTTACGAGCACCAAACACTTCCAAGAACATCATGCTTCTTCCAAGAGGAATTTCCACACCATGTTACATAAAAATGCTGCAGATCTGAGGACATAACATCGAGGAACAGTATTCAAATACGCTTCCTCCCAGTCTTGTGGTGGTGGGTAGCATCTCACTGTATACTTTTAAGTGGGCTATAAAAGTCGGCAACACTCAAGCAGGCACTAATCTGTCTGTACTTGGATGTAGGGGTGTGCGATATATATCGTCTTTGATAATATCGTAATTGTTGTTTTAACGATGTGCGATTTGACATTATCGAGTATTTTGCAAAAACCATTCAAAACATCCCTACAGAGCGCACGCATACAGTACGTGAAGTCTAGACTAGTGCGTGTGCGCATTTAGTGTTTTCTTTCACTGCATGATTCAGTCTATTAAAATGCATTTAGAATGATCACAAATCCAAGACATGATGGCAGAAAATGTATATATTTATACCACTTCATATAGTTATTCAATTTCACACGAAGTCTAATTATCGTTATCGATAAAATCCCAGAAAATATCGAGATATAATTTTTTGTCAATATCGCACACCCCTACTTGGATGTCACTTGAAGTAATATGTCCACCTTGATGAAGGTGTCTATCTCCAGTTTCCGCCGTTTGGCTAAAGTCTCGATCTCTACTTGGCAGATGGCACACACGTATAAGTGATTCACAGCCGGGCCTCCCCCAAACCTGTGAAAAATGTTTCAAAACATGAAGAAACTTTCAAAGTATGGCCAGTGAAAAGAGCAAACACATAACTCAACAATGTTTACATTGCACTGCTGGTGGAGTGCCTTGCACATGACATCAGATGTCTTGAACCGACCGAACTCCATAGTTCAGGGTTGGACTGAGGTTTTGTTGACTTCACCAGATCAAAAGCTCAAAAGTCATCCCATATTCCACTAAGCTGGTAAACGTCCTGAGGACTTTCTAAACGTCAGAAATGTGCATTGCTATGCATGACTCACCTGTTGTAGAGATATTCCCACACATTTTGGGGAAGGATCACAACCAGATCGTCCACATAATGGTACTTAGTAGGAGGGATTCCTGTATAAAATCACACCTGAGTCAAGTTTTTACTGCTTACAGTAAGTGAAAAAGTTTAAGTAAAAGATAAAATAATATGATTAATTATTTAATTATTTTGCACCAAATGGTGGCGTTTACTGTGTCACTTAATACAATGTGGAAGTTTTTAAAAATACTTACATTTAGTTATATTAGCATAACCTTAATTAAAATACTGAAAATTAAGATGTATAACATTAAACTGACTTCATATTTTTGAGTTTATTTGTTTTTATTACAGCAGAAGTACCAGAGGTATATTTCAGCTTCAGATAGGATGGCCTTTGAATACTGTCTCAGAAGAAGCCTTCGAGTTAAAAAGGGTGAGAACCACTGCTCTATGTGAAAAACTGTCTCACATAAAAACATTTACACACTAAATTTGGTGGCTTAATATAATTAATAGTTCACATATGAGTCATCACATGGAGCTCTAGAGGAGGGGGAAAAAACAAACTTCAAGCATCCGAGATAAACTTCTGATGGTAAATTTTCCACTGAGGGAAAAAAGCTGTAAGAAGATGTGACAGGCTCAAATCTTTACATGCAGACAGAGAAGAAGAAACACAAACATTTGCAGTATAAGACTGTTTGTCTCTTTTAAAAAAAAACAGAGGATGCCAACCTATCGTTCTTGCAATTTAAGCCATCCATTATGCTGCAGTTTACATCAAAGTCATCAACCACATACTGTAGCCAGTAAATCCATTAACTTACTCACTAAAGTCAATTTGTTCTCGCATTCAGCTCTTCATATTTACACAGTAAATCACAGTTGAGAGTAAAAAAATGTGTGATTGTCATTATAGTGGCAAAGTTAATTAATATTTCAGTTATTTCGTTAAATCCATTTGAAATGGACCAGTGTGGAGGAGTTTTAGATATACATGAGAGTATTTGTGTGTGATTGTACCTCCATGCTGACAGAGGAAAGTGTGGTTGGTGATGGGTCCGGGCTCAGCGAATGTGTTGAACTTGTTGAGCCATTCTCTGGAGATGTAGAACTGCAGCAGACTGGGCTCCTTTAAATTAGCCAGAGCGACAACCTTCTGTCTCTCTCTCACAGATTCTTCACTGCTCTTCCTGAAAGAGAAATGAACAAACTCCACGTCATAAGAATAATATCAATATAATAGACATTCTTGGAATCAATCCCAATGAGTTTCTGTGTTTTGCTGGTGGTTTGTTATGATGCACAGGTAGTCATGTCATGTCAACATGGTAGCTTCCATGAAGGGGCAACCCACTTCATGTAGAATAAAAAAAAGTTTTACTCATACTTTTCAAAATTACTATTCATTTCATTATGGGTAAAACAGTTTAAAGGTGTGACAGATCTTTTCTTCTGTATTTTGATGTACATCTGAGTGAATGTAGGGTGGAACTTGGTTACATCCATTGATTGTTGATTGGACTGAGGCACATCTGATTGAAAGCTTGGGATTGTAAGAAAAGGGGCAGGGTTTAATCAGACTAAATGACCGGGAAAAATGATGGGAAAAATTAGTTAGAACATCATCATAAAAGCATGAATTACCATTTCACCATAACTTTAATAAGGAAAAACATTACTGAGTGCACTATTAAAGGGGTTATGAACTGCCTTTGTTTTTTATTTTGTACTGTTCTCTGAGGTCCACTTATAATTTTATCAAGAGTTTTACATCAAAATACATCATAATTTAGAAGCAATACGCCATTTTCTGTCCTGTTTTGACCCCCCCCTCCCTTATTAAAAATAAAGTTCATCCACTCTTTCCTAACGTTGGGATCAGAAGGAAGGCAATGCAAAGACTGAGTTTTTCCACAGCTTGGCACTACACAGCATCTTGTTGTCTTCGGAGCCATCTTTATCTTTTGGTTTCTGCATAGACCTGCGTTTGCCTCTCGTTATACACTACATGTGTGAATCGGTGGGCGGGGCTAAACAGGCAGTGATGTAGAAGTAGGCGTTGATCCTCTTCTGCGGAGGCGGAGTTTAGCCACACTATTACATCATAGAGCGGCACATTCCACAATGTCATTTTGGCAGACTGGCTTCAATATAAGTGGGGGTTTTTTACCGCAATATAAGCAGTTCTGAAACTTTCAGGATGTTTTATAGTACAGTGACCTCTTATATGTCAAAACATCAAGGATATTTTGATTTCTCAGTTCATGACCCCTGTAACAACCATTACGAGGTCAAAAAATTAAGTGTACCTGTAGAAGAGAACATACGCTTCAGCGTTCTGCACTACCGTCTCATGCACTTCTGTTACATACTGATCGTCAAATTCGTACCACTGCCCATTGATCACATTCTGACAGTACGCTATGTAGTGACCTCCTGTCCAACAGGGGGAAAAAAAAACACATTATTTCACTCAATTAAAACTATACAAAAAATCATGTTTAACCTATGATGACTTAATTGTCATCTGGGGAAAGCACCAGTGATTAATAAATGCAAGTTCACATTTCAAAATCTCAAAGCTCCTAATTTCGCAATATTACACAGAAGTAACTTACTCCCAGCAGTGCCGTGATGACAGATGACAGACAGCAGGTCGTAGGTAGTAATCTGAGATGGGCTCTCCTTAGCCAAGAAGGGCTTAAGATCCAAACCCTCCAATGGGAATGACACGTGGCTATTTATCTTGAACGATGTAGAAGTAGGCGTTGATCCTCTTCTGCGGAGGCGGAGTTTAGCCACACTATTACATCATAGAGCGGCACATTCCACAATGTCATTTTGGCAGACTGGCTTCAATATAAGTGGGGGTTTTTTACCGCAATATAAGCAGTTCTGAAACTTTCAGGATGTTTTATAGTACAGTGACCTCTTATATGTCAAAACATCAAGGATATTTTGATTTCTCAGTTCATGACCCCTGTAACAACCATTACGAGGTCAAAAAATTAAGTGTACCTGTAGAAGAGAACATACGCTTCAGCGTTCTGCACTACCGTCTCATGCACTTCTGTTACATACTGATCGTCAAATTCGTACCACTGCCCATTGATCACATTCTGACAGTACGCTATGTAGTGACCTCCTGTCCAACAGGGGGAAAAAAAAACACATTATTTCACTCAATTAAAACTATACAAAAAATCATGTTTAACCTATGATGACTTAATTGTCATCTGGGGAAAGCACCAGTGATTAATAAATGCAAGTTCACATTTCAAAATCTCAAAGCTCCTAATTTCGCAATATTACACAGAAGTAACTTACTCCCAGCAGTGCCGTGATGACAGATGACAGACAGTAGGTCATAGGTAGTAATCTGAGATGGGCTCTCCTTAGCCAAGAAGGGCTTAAGATCCAAACCCTCCAATGGGAATGACACGTGGCTATTTATCTTGAACGAGTACATGACTTCATGCCTGAAACGCTTCAGGTGAATGCACAATATCTGAAAAGGAGATTACACACAAACTCACTAGGAATACAAGTTCTGTTGAAAAGTAAATGTAGCAATCCAATAAATGAGCAGATTGAAATGGAGGGGGTTACTTACTTCTGGCAGACGCAGAACTTTACAATATTTCACACCATTTCTCAGTCTGGGAAACAGGTAGATTAAATGAGCTTGTTTCATCATTTAAACATTTAGACCTAACAGCTACCGTATGATTTTGGCTGTAAAACCCTAAGTACTATTTAGATTAGACTACAAAATATTTAAACAGCATAGTAACCACTACATTATTACATCTTGATCACACACATTTCAGTCTTTTTTTCCACCAAGAAATCTTACTTTTTACATCGTTCACAGCTGTACATGTTGTCTCCTGTTTGGTGGAAAGAAAATAAATATCAACCAAGGGTTGACGAGCATTACAACAATGTTGAAAAGGCAATATAAGTTTTTGCCCTCTTATCTCATTCATAATTGCAATTGCACATTCAGAAATGACAAACATGATGTCCTAACCTTTCAGCTCATCAGCAGCAAAGAAGGCTGCCAGGCAGTCCTCCAGCGTTACCATTGGGCCCCAAAACCAACTCGGAATACAGGACACTACAAACCTGCATAAACACATACGTTTATATTAAAAGATCAGTGTTTGTTTTCATGGCAATTACATTGTCTTACATTCAGCTTTTTCACACTACTGTTCAAAAGTGGCAGTAAAGACTAAAGTAAAAAAAGTTATTTTAAACTTTCTATTCATCAAATAATCCTGAAAATTTGTATCAAGGTTACCACAAAAATATTGACCAAATTAGAAAATTAGAATGAATTCTGAAGGATCATGTCACACTGAAAACTGGTGTAATGGCTGCTGAAAATGCAGCTTTGCCATGACAAGTGTAAATACCATTTTCAAATATATTAAAATAATACTGATTGAACATTGTAATAATATTTAATAAGGTTTTACTGCATATTTGATTAAATATACATAGCCTTAGTGAGCACAAGAGACTTCTTTCAATCTTTCTAACCCCAAATTTTTGAACTGTAGTGGAAATAATTGTCAAAGCCCTATTTTGCACTTTCCACATCTTGATCATTTTCTGCCCCATCACTCTGTTACTATACCTTCGTATAGATTCCATGATGTAGGAGATCCAGCCCTGGGCAGCATAGCCATCCGTGCAGAAACCAGCTTTAACAGGAGCACTCTGGTGGATGGAGGAATGGAGTTTGGCCAAATCCTCTTTACCCGGAATAGGCAAAGACAGGTCCTGAAAGGTCTCCACAGTTGTTGAAACCTGCAAAGGCAGATATTTTCTTTGAAACATTGTTCGTTCTGTAGTTTTACACACACTGTACCCTTAAAATATATGCTTCTACAGTTACACAACATTTGGTTTATGTGATATGAATACAGTTTGTTTGTGCAGCTATGTCTTGCAGTATTCTTCTAGACGTGATTTGAATTGGAAGTGGAGCTCCTCGGAAACTACATGGTGCATGACAGACTATCCTGGCGTTTTTAATAAATTTTTAAGTGTAATGAAAGTGATTTGATGCTTGGTGCCCTCTAGAGACAGAAAAACTCCTTGCATCCTTTCCTCACCCGGTCACATGTCAAACACTGAACAAGACTCAGAATGGATCCATCAAAGATATCTGAAATAACACTGCGGAAACGGGACTGCTTCTTCTTCTTGGTGCTCAGAAGCATCTGAGCTATAGGACAAACAATCATGACGGTTATTTAGTGCAAAGCAAAATACAAATAAAACCTTTTTTTTTTACAACTATGCTGTATTTATTTGTATTTATATGAGAGAAGCAAACCTCTCTTGAATGTATAAGTGGGTCCAGCTCTGAGGGGGCTGGATCTAGGTGGGCTGCTGGAGAGTCTGGAGTGGAGTTCTTGCACACTGCGAGTGGGGCTACAGGGACGAGAGGACGGACAATGCATGGAAGCTTCATTATCAGGTTCTGCAAGAAAAGTGGGATCAGGAAGTGAGAAGGTTCATATATATATTTTAAGAATTATATTCACATTCAAAAACTACTAAACATACACTACCGTTCAAAAGTTTGTAGTGAGTAAGATTAACACTTTCATGCAGCAAAGATGCATTAAATGGAGTGACAAAAAAAGGTTATTACATTATTAAATAAGATTTCTATTTTAAATAATAGCTGTTCTTTTCATTAAAGAATCCTAAAAAAAAAGGATAATGGTTTCCACAAAAATATTAAACAGCACAACTGAAGGCGTTTTTCATTTCTGAAGGATCATGTGATTGTGACACTAAAGACTGGAGTAACGGCAGCTGAAAATGCAGCTTCTCCATCACATGAATAAATTTTTTTTATTTAAATATAAAACAGCTATTTTAAATTGTAATAATATTTCATAATATTACTGTTTTTACTGTATTTTTCAGAATTAGAGAATTCTTTCAAAAACACACACACACACACACACATAACAAAAATCTTGGAGACCCCAAACTTTATGATTATAAGAACTAGGCTTGCCGCGATAGACGGTGTTGACGGTGATACCGTTGTTAAGCTGCAACACCGGTTACGACACTTGCCCACCGCGTCACCGACCCCCACCGTCGTTTTGATTTTTTTATAGTAATAAAAATCATTTAGTTCAGTAAAAGAACAGACACTACAAATAAAAACTGAACGCGGCTGCTCAATGCAGCGTGCCGAACGACAGTCGCATCACAGATCAGATTTCATTTCTCCAGTGAGGACCAAAAAGAAACCAACAGAGAACAATAAGATTCATATAATTAGTACTAAGTTCAATATATTAAAGCCACAATTGAAGTCCATCATATGGAGAAAAATCCTGGAATGTTTTCCTCAAAAACCTTAACTGAGCCTGGTTTCTCCCAAGGTTTTTTTTCTCCATTTCTGTCACCGATGGAGGGCGAGCGACGGTCGGCCTAGTTTGTTTGGTGTGTTCCACTCGTCGGCTCTCGTCGGCTCTCGTCGGGCTCACGTCGGCAGCAGTTTAGTCGCCGCTAGTTCTTTGAAGTCGGCTTGGTGTGTCCCGGCCTTTAAGATTAAGTTTGCTAGTTTGCCAGGTCTAGGTTAATGGTTTGGCAAGCCAGTGCTTGTTACCGTTTCTTGTGCCAGAGCTCAGAGATAAGCTTCTGATAGCTTTTACACAACGCCGGCTTCTTATCCGTACGGACCAACCCACTGCAATCCAGGAAAAACTGAGTCAAAGGAGGACTGGAGAGAAAAAGACAAAGAAACAGGAAAACCAATATCAATTTCAGAAGCAGGATGCACAGACCTAAAAAATAAATCAGTGGAATCAGTCACGCTTCCAATTTCTGTTGTCTGAATTATGCTTATTTATGCTTCACAAGTTGTGAGCTCACCAATTGGACAGGGCCTGCAGTGCAGCATTCATGTAACAGGAGTTCCCAATGTTCTTCATCCCTGTGAGACCTGAGAAAATGTAGAGTATTAAGCAGAATAAAGAGTATAATGAGAAATGCCAACACTCGCCTACAACTTTGGAGTGGAACAGAATCTTAGTCATTACGCATAACTAATGTCAATAAGATCCAATTTAATTCGGCTTACATACTTCCATTACGCCTTCTCATATTAAGAGAACAGAAAAAGTAATTGACTGGTTATTCATTCATATAGACATTATTCAATCCGCTCCTTTAAAATGTTGTATAAGCAGGACATGATAGCCATCTGTTAGTAAATATACAAGTTACTGAAAAGGTAATTTGAAAAATCCATACTGACTGACAACTACTGTGAATATTTGGGGTCAGTTAAATTTTTTTTTAAGAAATCAATACTTCTACTCAGCAGGGATGCATAAATGCTGTTCTTTTGAACTTTATATTCATCAAAAACATCCTGAGAAAGTATCATGGTTTCCACAAAATTTTTCAACATTGACAATAGTAAGAAATGTTTCTTAAGAGCCCAATCTGTTTCTTGAGTTTCAAATGTTTCTTGAACACCGAATCAGAAAATTCAGCTTTGCCATCACAGAAAACAAAACTGCATTTTACAATATATTAAAATAGAAAATGGTCATTTGGGTTGTAATAATGTCAAAATATTGCTGTTTTTACTTAAATTTGTTTTTCAATCAAATAAATGCAGTCTTGGTGAGCACAAGAGACTTCTTTTGAACACATTAAAAAAATCTTAATATTTTGAACGGTAGTGTATGTTTCCCTCTCAATGTCTAGGTGGGTGTCATAGCTATTTTGAGGATTTGAAATGCCATGCAATGTGTACTAGCTTCCTGTTAACAAAATTATACCTCTAGGTTTGAGCTCATCCTCCTCAGATTCTGAGCCTTCCTCATCTGCCACTGCGATAGGCACTGCTTTTAACGGGTAACATGTTGTCTGGGGAAGAGGATCCTTCGGGGATGAAAAAAAACAATAGAATTATCTTTCTTGTATCATTCATGTACTTTATTAATTATTGTGCCTAAATGAGATCTTCAGACTGATATTAATAATGCAGGAGACACAGTCAACCTCAAACAAGAAGTACATATATTAATCATGTTTACACAATCTTAAAAAGCTAAAAGTGCACAATTCTGTGAGGTGTTTCAAACAGTCTGATGACTTTACCTGTTCATGTGGTTTGCAGCAGTGAGCTAATGATACAGGAGTAACAGGCTTTGGTTCCAGAAACACCTCCCTCTCACATACATAACACCACACCCTGAATGTGGTCAAGTTTACTGTCAGATTGTGTTTTTTGGCCTGGAAAAAAAAAAAAAAAGATGCACACATGTATAAAAGAATAAGAGAAACTGATATGCATAATAACTGAACAGAACGAATGCCAGAGAATGGACTGAATAACTGAATGAATAAGACTGTCACCTGTGCATGTATAGTACTGTGATCAGAATATGATTCTCCGCAGCCTACATAGGGACAGTCACACTGTGGGGAAAGCAGGACAAAGAGAGTAATGATTATGAATGTAAAGAAATGTTCTGGGCCTAAAAATGCATTCTACTTATCTAACATGTTTGCTAGGGAAAAGGCTCCCCACCTGTAGACATGCCCAGAGGTTGGGTCCACCAACTCCACATGACTGACATGTGCCCTTGAGTAAATACAATGTGATAAAATTCAACACACAGCACTCATAACACATTTAAGACTTAAATATTAGCAAAAGCGATTCTAACCTTTGATTTCTGAATCAGTTCCTCCTTAGTAACTTCACCAATAGAGTCCAAGTGAGGACAAAGATCCCCATTGTCAGTCATCTTGATTTTCACCTCACTCTATTACAATACACAAAGAACATTTTGAGACCTACTAGTACAGCTCTACACAGCATCAATACAATAAACACTGAAAAAAATGCTGGTTTAAAAATCCTATGACTTTTTTTTCCCGTGGTGAACAAAAATAAATATTAACTCACTTCACTTTCATTCTATGCGAAAAGTAATAATATTTTTTTTGTATAACTCGTCCTTTAAGTATAACCTTCTAATGTACTTACAGACTCAGTATCAGCGTAAAGGAGAAAAATTGCCATCATTGAATGCATTATTAAAAAAAAAAAATTATAATAATAATAATAATAAATGAAAGAAGAAAAAAGAATAAAACTAAGGGTGATATATCTAGATGTGAGTAGCTGTGAGTCCGTGCCTGAAACTCTCAGGAGCCCAAAAATGCTGTTTCATGCGCCTAACACGACTGAGAAGGATGCATTCACCCAATTTCACCTCGTCTATTGTTACAATGAAGAAATGCACAATAATGCATCATAAAGATGTATTAATTTGTTTTTCCATACGAAAAGTAGCTCTAACAGAAATCCTAAAAGAAAGGGGAAAACAATTATATTATGAATTGGCCTCACTATTCCTCTGAATTTAAAAACAATATCTCAAAACGAAACAATCAGTCTTTCTGCATCTCCGGTGTTTTTCTTGTTTATCATCACACTACAGTTCCTCTACATGTCATCGTCAACCACCCAAAAGCTGGGGTTTTCAAGATGCCATATATGCCATATTTCCACTCGGGCTGCAAGACACTATTCAGACGCTGAGTCGACATGATGGTATCTTAGCAAATAAATAGTGACACTCCGCTTCAGCCGAGGGAAAGATAAGAACAAACATTTACCTGTCAGACAGAAACAAAAATAACGCTCATAGATGATCATTTTAGGCCAATCGGTGGTATTTGTAACAGTGGTGGGTAGCAGTGTACTAAGCAGCATCCATACTGAATACAGCATGAGTGTGCGTCACAGCTTTGACCAGAGCCAATGACTGCTTTCAGCTTTTTTCATCTGATCAAAAACGATTTTTAATTCACTTAAACTAATACAGTTTACATGCTATTTGTTTTAGGAGTTGTTGTTTTTAATTGTTTTGTTATTATTTTTACTTCGTTTTTTTTTTCATTGTCATAGCAGTAGCTGATCTTGAACCAGCCTCTTCATTCCCAATTAGTCGCTTTACACCGTTAAACGTTCGTATGTAAAAAAGACGAGCTGATCTCAGATCAGCTGTTAATGCCGAGATTGTGACGTCAGCGGAAGTTTCGGGAAATGTGAGGAAAGCGGTCCGACGTTGCGTACGGTCGTGTGAAGGGATAAACATTAAACAATTCGACGTTTTTTTAAATCATGCCCCCAGGTAAAAATTTTAGGAGGAAGAAGGAGGATTCATCTGACGAGGAAGATGATGAGACAAAAGCCGTGGTCAGGTAGATATGTTTATCACATTAAGGCCAAATAGAGTAACCGAACATGACTGTAGAACAAATATTTATGTAACGTTAAGGTTTAAATGTCAAATTCATTCAGAGGTCACATGCAGACGCCTGTTCGTGTGTGAGAATATATTTAAAAATGTTAAATGTAAACATGTTTTCTAAGGTCCAAACTGGATGAAGCCAAGGAGCTTCAAAGTTTACGAAAAAGGCAGCATGGAGTAAGGTTGGTAACACGTCTATTTACAATGCTATTTATTTTTGTACCAATATGACACCGATATAAAGTTGGTTCGACGTTTGAGGTTTGACATTTGTCAGAGATTCAGCCTCGGAAATCTTCAATAGTTCTTTAACGATTTGCTTGGTGCACTATTTGCTCTTGTTTTGTTAATTGTAAAAAAAACATTCCGGTGGGAAAACATTCATCGTTTTATCCTTTACATGTACTTTGTAGACGGTCCCTAGCTGGCCTAAGCGCTAGCTCGGCGCTGCTAGAGACTTTATGCGTTTCAACATATAGAGGGCGATTAAAACACATAAACTGCGATGTGTGTATATGACAGTCTTACACGTTTGCACAAGTCTTATTTTTTGCATTGTTTAATTTCCAAGTTTTAATTAACTGTATTTAAAATAATTTGTCCATTCAATTATGTTTGATTAAAAGTCGAAATAATATATGCTGCTTTCCATTGTGTTCCTCCAGCATTGCAACGTTACTTGTAGGAGAGAAGCTTCCTTTGGAGTCTGAGCTTGAGGCAGGTTTTTTTTTTTTTTTAAAGCAAACTACATTTTGTATTATGATGAAGGTCTTGCATTGTTACAGTAAATGTATGATTTAATGGGTAAAATATTGCCACTCCCTGTTTTGTGCATTAGGATGACCCATTTAAACTGAAGACTGGAGGTGTTGTTGACATGAAGAAAGTGAAAGATAGAAATCGAGACATGTAAGTGGTATTATGGAGTCATGTTTGCTGTTCATTTAAAGTTGATGTTTCTGTATTTTATAAGTGAAATAATTAAAATTTTCTCTCCACTACAGGACAGCAGATGAAAACGACCTGAATCTCGGTACCTCCTTTTCTGCTGAGACTAACAGACGAGATGAAGATGCAGACATGTAAGTGCATATGTGTGCGCGCAAACCATCTGTATTCTTTGTCTTTCTACATAATGGTTTTGGGTTTTGTTTTTGTTTGCCTCCATTCTTTATATTATTTCTCTCTCTCTCCTTATATGCTATTTCATTCAGGATGAAGTACATTGAGACCGAATTAAAGAAAAAGAAAGGCATGGTGGAGGCGGAAGAGCAGAAAGTGAAGGTGAAGAATCCAGAGGACCTCCTGTACGAGCTTCCAGAGAGCATCCGTGTCAATTCTGCCAAAAAGACAGAGGAGATGTTGTCCAATCAAATGCTGAGTGGAATTCCAGAGGTGGATCTGGGGATAGAGTAAGTAAAGACCAGAACTAATTCAAAGACATTTTCCTTTGATCACATCTGAGATTTTTCTCTAGTCCACCTAGCTATGGATGTCAGCATCAAAACCTTTTTTTTCTACTTTTTTATTAGTGCAAAGATAAAGAACATCATCAGCACAGAAGAAGCCAAAGCAAAGCTGCTTGCTGAGCAGAGGAATAAAAAGAAGGACAGCAGGACCTCCTTTGTTCCCACTAACATTGCAGTAAATTACGTCCAGCATAATCGCTGTAAGTGCACACAAATATCTGACCAACCAGCTTTTTGTATTTTAAGGTCATGTGCTTAGTGCTCGTACATCGATACGCTTGTCTTCACACAATTATTTATTTTCTTATCTTTCTAAAGAATCAGTAACCTCTATGTATTTTATATTCAGAAGTAGTATTTGTTTTTCATCAAGGTTATCAATCACATCTGCATTTAATCCAAACATTTTATGAGTTACAGCTCTATCTCTGCATAACCTTTAGGTTTGGAGATTACTAACCAAGGACTATTCATATTCAGTTGCTTACTCATTACAAGTGAAATGATTTCAATATTTGAAATATTTGCTATCCTTCCCTAAAGGACAAAGATTAAGTCACTTTCTGTATTTGTTCCTTCAAGTCTATCATGAGGATGTAAACGCTCCCCAGAGACGGCACAGAGAAGAACCCAAAGCCAGGCCACTACGAGTAGGAGACACTGAGAACCCTGCGCCTGAGGGTAAGATCATAACAATATCATGTTTTGCTTAAATAACACATAGATCTGCATTTGTTGGATTTATATTAATGTGTTTTGTGTTTACATCTCTTCTTGTTCTCCAGCTTCACCACCCAATTACCGCAAGAGGCCTAATAACGAGAAGGCCACAGATGACTACCACTATGAGAAATTCAAGAAGATGAACCGACGATACTAATCCTCCACCTTTCCTACAGTCACCTGAATGGACAATTTTTTTCTGTAAAATGAGAAATGTAAATATTTTTTACTGTATTTAAAATGTCTTCATAGCTTGCATAGTCATAAACATCTTACAATAAATCTTCCCCCAAAACATTGGTTATCTTTGCAAACTTTATAAAGCAGAAGAACATGTTGGTTTAACAAATGTCTATTTTACATGTATCACAAGTATCTGACTGGATGTGTGCGTGTGTGCATGTGTGTGTGTGTATATATATATATATAAAGACAAAAATAAAACACTTCCTTTGCAGTCACATTTTGAAAAAGTGAAGAGCATTACAGTGCACATATACTATGTAACATACAATAAAATTTCAGTGTAACAGCTAAATTTACTCCGAAATGTATGCAGCATGTTTACAGAGGTCTTCTTTTCTTTTAGCATCCAAAACACCACTTGCCTAAACAAGTTGTAGTTTTTTGAAGAACAATAATGAAAATAAAGTGTAGCATAGTTGTAATATCACTCAGAGACATTAAACTTAGTTATATACAGATAGAAAGGCAAACACTTCATTATACCAATGTAGCATGTTACCCAACTACAGTAGTTCTCAGCATTAATTCAGTGTCATATTTGCAGGACAAAATCACATCATCAATTCAAGTAATTGTTTAGATTTGCAGTCTGCAGCTGGTGGTTTAAGATGGGGCTTATTATGATGGTAAATTGCTTAGCTGTGTAATCTAACTGGTCCATGAAGGAAGCCACCAGTATTTCATGACTGCTCACTAGTGCTGCTGCCGTGGCTGTTGAGGTGACGCTGCATGGACTCCTGCGACCCCAAGTTGTCTGAATCCTCTGGGTTGGCACGTGAGGGGTCAGAGGTCATCTCAGGGGACCCCCAACTGTCCTGCCGATGAAAGGCCTCACAAAGTGGCAACTCAACACCATCCCACTGTCCACAGCTAGAAACGTTATACACACACACACACACACACACACACACACGTTACACACAAACTAACATTTCTTCATTCCACTTCTGCCTAAAACACCCAAAAAGCCATTAGGAGTATGAATGAATGACGTTGCACATTCATTCACTCATTACAGAAACAACTCACACAACATATGAAGGAACAGGGAAAGAAAGCACAAGCAAGGAAAGAAGCTGTGAAAAGCATTATTTCAGGATTGCTACTGACATGAATGGAACCGTGTGGTCACATGGCATTATTCTTCTGTTTGCTGTCTTTCTTTGCGTTGAACAGATGTGTGTAGTCTCTAATAATATAATTGCTCAACAGATGAAAAGCAAAAGGCTGTAAGCAGCAGAGAATTTAGATTATGCACTCAGCAGAGGCAGAAAATAAAAATTCCAAATCAGAGGTGAGCAAATAATAGATCAGACACTAAATGTGCTCTAGTTTCTCTCGGGTTTATTTATGAAATTTGAAATGACCAGTTGATTTGTGAAAAAACTGACAAATATTCTTACACATTTTCAACAGGTACTAATGTGACCAACACTTGTGTCTGCTAAATATGTCACCACAAAGAAACAAAGCGTAGTGCAATTTCCAACCACTGAGGAAATCAAAAACTCCAAAAATGATAAATATTACATTTTGAACATGACACATATGGCCTCTGAAAGCTAAAATATTTTCCCAGTTTTCACAAACTTCAATTAGTTTAACAAAGAAAAAAAATCACTGCATTTATGAATATACAGTGAAAATCTCAACAACAACAAAAAGAGTTTCATCTTAACATATTTCTTCCAGTAAGCTAATTAATGATTCTTAAAGTAATTTTTACCATACGTACAGCACCATATATTACTTTTTACAAATTCTAAAGTGCTTTGAATTTTGCAGCCCAACATTGATTAAAGGCATCCAAAATGAATGTGCCCAATCCAATTTCAAATTTAAATTCACATGTACATTTTTCTTAAAAACTGTAAAAATGTATAAAATTATTTCCGTAATTATTTCCAAAATGTCTCTTCACATATAACTATTCACATTTACACTGGTGTGCTTCAAAGACAGCTTGAATTCATTTAAAATCTCTGCATAGCACTAAAGATCCAGATTTATCATCCTATACTAATCTCTATAAAAATTCACT